TAACGAGAAGGATAATAGAAATATTGATTAAATCGTAGAATAGAAATGTAAAACCGATACACATGCAATTATATTATGAATATAATATATAATAACATTGAAAAACATGATTCTATTATTATTCAAAGTCAGATCTATAACTCATAGAACGAACTTTTATTTCCGATAAGGAAATCGAGGGGCAAGCTAAAACGGAATAAAATTTTTCGTTTCTCCTTGCCACTACTTTTCTATATACAATCTATGAAATATTCAGTCTTGCCTCGCGCGTTTCTCGTTCCACTTCCAAAGACTCAGCAGTCTCAACTGAGTTCGCCAGCCTACGGGTGGTCCATTTATAATATAAGATTATCTTTACGGGACTATAAAGTGACAAGAAAGACAAATTCGAAAAGAACTGACATATTTCTTGAATCTTGACGCAGAAGGAAAAAGCATTTCACTTTGTCGTGACGTGTAAGGTTGAATCAATAAGGCGCTGTTTGCGTGCATAAGATAAGATCCGCGATATAACGGTGGATTGCATCTTGGGCATGATTTTCCGTGAGACCGAGTTCATCTAGTTCATTAATCTTTCGAAGTACGTATTACCTATTTGGAGGTTCCTTCGTTAACACCAGGAAACCTCTACACATAGTTACCTATTTATGTATTCTATCTATATCGCAACAGCGTCGTCGTTAAAATCATATCGAATCGTATGATTGAAATATCGATAAAGGTATTTCAGCACCTAATAGTTTCTAATCTCTGATAGTAAATATCGGAATTCCGATACATGAGTTTATAAAGCCCGATTAAGCTACATAGAAACGAATAAGAAAAGATAAAATTTTTTAACATCATAAACATTTGCACAAACAAGCGTAAAACGATTTAAAAACAATTATTTTTTTTATTTATTCGTAAGATGCCTGCACATTTAAAGTTATTTAAAAGAGTTTGACATTAACTACGTTACTTTTCAAAAATAATATTATCGTTAGTTTTCTTTATACAAATTATCCTCGTCGCTGTATTTCGAATTGAAATAAAAATGTAGCAGACAAAGTTAAAACGCAGGATGAAATTAAAATATTATCATACGATGCCAGATTGCACGTCGCTATGCAGTTGCTAGGGAAAGTAGAACGCGTAACCAAGGATCCGGGACGAACACATTTAGTAAAGCTGGAATAATTTGAATGTGAAGAAGAACTGCCTCGCCCCGAGCTCTATTTGTAACGACAGCAACGTTCACAGCCCACATATTTTAATTTCTATTACAAATGTACATGAAAAATGACGTCTTTTTTTTATAGACATTTCGTATTTTTATATTGAATTCTGTCGTTTGTAAGTTACTTTGTTAATTATCATTGCGTCAAAAATTTTGTCTTTATTGAAAAAAATTAATTCTTTCGACAGGAATAAAAGTGCGAATTGAGAAAAAAAATATTGCACCAATTACTTAATTGATGGATAGCATTGTTACTGTCTTGATTACTGGATATTTCATTTGAAACGTGGTAAATGTCGATTGGATCTTTCGCACTAGTTTTTTCTGTATTTATTCAATTAAAAACTCGGTCAAACCTGTATTAACGGATTCTCGCGTTATCAGCTGCTTAGTAAAACCGAAGCGAACAATGGGTACTTAAGATATAATTATGAAAAATTCAAAAGATAATATATAATAACATAAAAGTAATGTTTGGCGTTAAAAAATAATTCCAAATTAACTTCTACTTGTTTGAACAGAGCGATTAAAAATTGATTAACATATTCGAAACATCGGAATTAATATTCTAAAGGAGACTTCATAAAATTTTATATCCTTCTTTTATGACAGTTCTTTCAACCGTGTAAAGATAATTAGTCAATCGTCATCTTCCTGCCTTATTATAAATTATATTTAAACAGATTTATTTATGTAAGCTAAAATAATACATAAAACATCCTTAATTACATAAAGAATGCTTCATGTAATATTTACATAAATAAATTTCAAAAAATATAATTTATGTTATTTGCAATATAAAATAAGGCGGGAGTGCTGAGTTATTATTTTTGGAAATCGAATAAGAAAAGAGAAATATCATAAAATTTTTATTTTAAAAGTTATGTGTCTCTTATACAATTTCTCTTGATTCTGAAAATATCAACATAATTTTGGAATTAATATCCTGAACTTTTTCTCAAGTAAATAATGTGACGTAATAAGTTTCCTTAATTGATTGTGATAGATTTATGATAATCGTCTTAACGTATAAAATGGGATTTAAATTAATTGTAAGCGGACGAACGCGAATACAAACACGAATGAACAAATTACTTTAATAAACGCGAACAATGCCCCACAGCGACATGTTGTTTGTTTTTAAAATTCTTTCTGTTACGAAGTAATTAATAAATAATAGTTTACTGTATCATGGAAACGAATAAAGTAAAATGTGAGTTTGAGAAACAAATGCAATAAATATGATTTTAAGATTTATTCAACATTATGTCAAATAGTCTTTTTGTTTATATATAACAGACGTCTATTTAGGTTATTATTATTTATTATTATTATTATTTAATTATAGTTTATTATTATTATTTAATTATAAAAAGTATGTTATCTTACCACAATCATAATTTAGTGTCTCGTAAATGTCTTCCAGTAAATTATAGTTTTCCTCCTCTTCAACATTACTTAAAAGTTTTTCTCTGAAAAATAAAACAATATTTTATTATTGACAATCATACATATTTAATCATAATTTAGGTAGAAATTAAGAATACATTAATTAATAGAACTACTTTTATTAACATATCAGTATATATTCTTTCTCTCTCTCTCTCTCTCTCTCTCTCTCTCTCTCTCTCTCTCTCTTTCTCTCTCTTTCTCTCTCTCTTCGTCTAATTAAATTTTAATTAAATGAATTATGTAATGTAATCTTCTTTACTTTGATTTTAAACTACAAATGTTACTATAATAAATTATTGAATTATATTACAGATTTTCTTACTTAATATATTTGTAATCATTATATTTCTTTGACAATTTCATATAAAATATAATAAATATTATTATTACATTTTATATTTTATATTTTACAATTAAAAATATTACATAGAGACAACTGTGTTTATTAGTAGTATATGCAAAAAGTTTTCGAATTTAATAAATTAAATAACTAATAATGTGAAAAAGTTAATTTACAATATTAAAAATTGTTTCATAACAATGTTTCATTCAATTCCTTTTACTTTTTCACAGACTATCTGCATAACAAGCACAATAGAGAAAATATTTTTAATGAATGTACTTACAAAGACGATGTTGTCGACGTTGGAAGAGGTACTTCATGTTTATTTAATAGAGCTTCTAGCGCCATAGCCACCACTTCGTTCTATAATAAAAGTTAAGATTTCAAAAATAATTATAAAAGAGCAAAATTAATTGTTGAATTAAAATAAATTATTTTTCATTGCGCTTTTATATCAATATATCTAATTAAATTTTATCTAAAATTAATAAAATATCTGAAATAATTAATATTTTTGTAACGTAGATCCTTGACAAATATAACGATAAATTCTGATAACTTGTGAAAATATGAATATTCAAAATTTTTTTCATCTTTTTTTTAAAAAGATATGATAAAAACTAACTATTAAGTTCTTTTATTTGTCCAAACTATTTAGAACATATTACATTTAATAATATTTTAATGCAATATTTCTACGCGTGAATACATGCTACAAAAAATTTATTCATGCAAAATACATAATTTAGTGTTATATACTGCGGTAGTAATTTCGAACTTTTATCGAATAACTTCGGTGGAGTCTATACAAAGGTTTTTCTTTATAAAACGCATATTTGAAAGATTAATATTCTCATGCACACACATCATGCATCAGTAGTGAGACTAAATTATATGAAATCCGATTTAATGACGTACATGAGTACGTGTGATTCGACAATCGTTGTGTAGCAATAATCCGAGTTATTATGCGATGCCTATATTTTCGTTGTAAATTACAACCTGCGTTTTACACCGAGAATTATAGCACCATTTGGAACACTCGTATGGGCAATTCTTCTCAAGAGAATAGTGCTTGGGGCATTCATATGGAACATTAACCACACGACCTTCATTGTAACGTTGTTAGAGATAGAGTTTGTTAAATTATTCTCTAACTTAGCTCTCGTACGGATTCACACTAAGTTACGATTAATATCACATTAAATGGCAATTAATAGTAGCTAACTAGGTGTATCCTAACTATTACACTTAGGAATTGTGCGAAATAGGAGAATTATAGACTGACTCCTATAAGGCTGTTTCAACACTTAACAAAGTTATATTACATATTGAATACTGAAAGCTTTCATTAATTCCGTAATGCTTTAGTATATACAATATGATAAATTACATAAGATGGAACACAATCTCTACACAATATTCTTTGAGCTGTTAATTTACTTATTATAATTATAATTAAATGCATTACATTTTTAATTGCGTAACAAAACTTCTTTAGAAAATGTCAGTAGAGATTGATAAATTACTGAAAACTTTTGTATCTCTGGAAAACTGAGAAATTCACATATCAACATATTATCTCTCGGTATTTATAAATGATACTATGAAACTTGATGTTAGTAAAAAGAAAGAGAGATCTCTTTCATTTGAATATTCTGTTTCACGTATTCATTCGATACATAACAATTTGTCAAAATGACTCGACAAATGCATTATCCATTAACATTGATAGATGATATTCATTTACATTGGGAGAAATAGTATTTAAAGTAATCAATAACTTACGCAAGTAAAATTCATTTTTGTTCAACAATTTTGTTGGATATACCGATATATATTTACTAATTTGCTAAATTAAATATATGATAAATATGCGAAATATGCGTAACAGTACAAATTTTTCAAATTTAATAAAGCGACGTTATTAATGCAAATTACTTATGACCCAAGATTATCATAACAAAGACGTTTTGATATAATCTATTATAGCGTACAATTTTAATATAATCTATTACAGCATACAGTTAAATCTTAAATGTTAGTTTAGCGGAACATGAATTATGTATAATAGCAGCGCTCATTAATAATTGATTATAATCTACACTAGGAATTAGGGATGATCCTGCGGAAAATCAGGATATAACAAACTAATCTTCTTTGCGTATTAACATTTCTTGTTGTGTACGTTATGAGAATTATAATAATAAGAGAATTAAATATACTAGTATACAAAGAACAGGAGATTAGGATTACGTTTTAGATGTTAACATATAGCGAACTATGTATTGTGGCGCCGTCGATTTCAGGCTCATTGTTTCCAGCTACGTTGAATTCACCGCATCTTAATTTTCAACTCGTCTCTGATGATAACATAATACAAACGAACTGATATAATGAAATTATGTACATAAAAAGGAGGAAAATAGGTAAAGCGATCTAATTAGTACTTTGCGTATAAGTAGTTAAATTATTTTCCAACTCTCCAGAGACAGTTACCCTCTTAACAGAATAAAATAAAATATAAAATTTTATGGGTTGTGCGATTAGATTAAGATTAAGTGAAAGAATATATAATGGGACATTTTAATTCAATTATAAAGCGATTGACCTATTTGTGCCAAGAGGCATAAGACAGCGCTTTCAAAAATGTTTCTTCCCGAAAGCTTTTACGGAAAAACTATAAAAACATTTCGTAAATATATTTTTTATAGAAGACAAAAGAGAAAAATACAATAGAAATTTGGCAATGCAAAATGTTGTTCAATCAACATCTCGATAGTCATATTCCAATTGGAGCCAAAATCGATAGGAAGTCGCTCTAAAATGTGGAAGGTCATTCAAATTGTTTGTGGGAGGACAGTCATGCAAATTGACGTGTTTGTCAGTTCGCATACAGTTATAGGAAGTAAATTGTTTATTATTAAAAATAACTGCATCACCAAATAATTTTGAACAATTTCTATTTAACTCAGCTGTATTAATTAATTTTTGCAGCAAAATATAATAATTAATAATTATTAATATTTTAACTATTATAACTATTTTCTCGTATAAAAGATTTTTACCGTATTATATTATTTTATACTTTGTTATAATCTGATTATCATAAAAAAAAAGAAATAAAAAATAAATAGTTTTAGTTTTAGTGATGACATGTCAGAATAATTATGTTATAATTGTATCCAGTGCTGAAAGAACTGCAATATTGCTGAATCATATCATTGTCCTCAGTTAATATTTTTATAGCATAGAAAGTCGGTCATCTATTATACCAGCTTCGAGAAATCAAAGTAAGAGCTTTGCAAGAGGCCCTTAAGTGACTTAATATGTGGAGATTCCTTTTTATTTTTGCATTTCAAGTACTTTACAGCGCGATAGCGGCTGCCGACGAGATTCTGCCTCTCTAGCTAGCTCTAGTACAACCAATATTTCTATTTTGTCGAGCACTTTCGCATGCTGGAAATATTCATAAAGGTTTGTCGCATGAAAGAGAAAGGAAATAATAATAGGGAACAAATTACTGACGGAGCAGTATGTAAAAGCGTATGTATCCGCGCGATGAAACAATACAAAGCCTTGAATTAATGTCTAATTTATTTTATTTCTCATAAACGCTTGTCTAATATTTTTGCCGCGGGAAATATTGTGAATCGCAATATTCATTGTTTCATAAAGGTATAAAATGGTTCTTTATGCACTTGTTCAATTTTGACAAGGCAATATAAATTACGATGCACATATGTCTGTTATAACTATATACACGCAAGCTTCACAATTCTCCGTAAAAACGGTAAAACTTCCGTGTATATATATATATATATATA